AAGTTAGTTAGTTTCAAGTATTGAATTCTTGAAACAAGTGAAAAACAAAATGATGTAAGCAAAATAATAAATGAAAAAAACAATAACAACTTGAAACTTTGTCCTTGTTACAAATTGGATTCATTCAATTTTTTCAATTGCCATCCTTGATGATCATAAAAAACTAAAAAACTACAGGGTAAAAAACAAAACACATAATGTCAATTGCGTGACAAGTTTGAAACTTTTTTTTTTTTTGCTTTCTTTCCAACAGCAGAATAAGTAGAATAATGGAGTAAGGGAAAATAAATGAACTTGAAAGTAAAATTATTTCTGCTGCTGTTTTCAAAAGTCTGATGAGAAATGATTTTTTTTTTTTTTTGGTTGAAGCAATGAATTTGTAAATTTTTGTTGTTGTTGTCATATGGACATTTCCATCAACAACAACAATCACCTACATTCGACCTTTTTTTTCGAAAAAAATTGATAATTCTTATGGTCGAAATGTTGTTTTTTGTTGTTGTCGTAAACTTGTTGTAATGAATGATGACAACAACAACAACAATGACAGGATATACCCAAAGAAAAAAGAATAAAAATAATCAATTTCATTTCGGGTATTCTCGGGATTCTGAAACTGAAAGACGTTTGGAAAAAACTCGGAAGTAAATGGAAAACATAAATAAATAAACTTTTCTGCAAACTAAATCGTAACAACAACAACAACAGCAAAAATGAGTTTTCATTTTCAATGAGAGAAAGAAACAAAAAAAGTTTATTGCGAATTCTTCGTTGTTTCAATTTCGTTCAAGTTGGTTTTCGTTTTTCTTGTACGCAATCAATCTAAACAAAACAAAATTTGACAAAAGTTAAGAATACGATAAGGAAAATCGAAATCGATTGTGAATATCATCATCATCATCATTCGGAAAAAATGTGCAAAAAAAAATCTAGGCTATTTCTACCCAATCGAAATGACGACAGAATCACACACACATTTATATATCGGTCAAACATTTCAATTTTTGTTACGCGCTTGCGCGCCCGACAATTTTTCCCATTTAATTCTGAAATTCCTCCCACACACACACACCGGAATAATTTCTTTTTTTAAACTTTTTTTCTAAATTCAATTCATTAGTGAATTTTTGAATTTAATTTTCGGCATGAAAAACTAAACAGAATTCCAACAAAGAAAATAAAAAGAGAATACAATTGAAGAGAGAGCGAAAGTGAAAGATTAGCACAAAATGATAGAATCAAATCAAATCAAAATTCTTTACGGTTTGCAAATGAACAGAAAAACGAAATTCATTTAAAATTTTCAAATTCTTTTCGTTCGTTTCGTTTGGCAAAATACATTAATCTTTAAACTGGAAGAAGATTGTTTGATTTGGCTAACTGAATTTGATTAGTAATTTTCTTCTTTTTCTTCTTTTTTTTCTGGAATAATCATCATCATTATAATCATTATTTTCGATTTCATTTGGGGAAACGTTTAGTTTTCTCTTTTTGCTGTCGGTTTTCTTTCTTTTTCTTTCGGTTGAAACTCATCAAAGAATCAAGAATCAAATCAATGTTAATGAGCTTTGGCAAGCAAAAAAATAATATAAAGCTCTTGTGAATAATTTCGAGAGAAAAAAGTAAAAAAGAATGACGAATCTTTATTGATCACCAACGAATAAAACAAAAAATAACCAAGAGAGAAAGAAACCAATTTTCAACAAATTTTCAAATTATTATCATTTGGAAACTAGAGAAAAAAACAACGAGAAAGAAAGAAAATTGAATTCATCAAATTTCCAAAAATAAATTCAAATGAAATTTTCATTTTTGCCTGCCTGCTATTATTTATTCAGGCATTATTATGGTTATTATTATTATTATTTGTCAAATATTGACACATTTTTTTTCGCCTTCCATTCATTCATTCATTGCAACAGAAAAAAAATCATTCTGTCATCGAGGATATCTGATTTGAAGAACAAAAAAATGAATGAATGAAAAGAATATTCTTGAAAACGCCCGTTTTTTGTTTCTTCTTCTTCGGTTGTTGAATCATAAACTATGAGAGAGCGAGAAGTGGAGAAAAGCAAACAACACCCACCCACATACACACACAGAATATTCTTCAAGAATATTCTTTTCATTTTTTTCATTTTCTGGTGTGTTCAAACAAACATACACCATTCAAAAAAAAAACACACAATAGTTATTATTATTATTATCATCAAAGTTGACAAAAAAATTATCAGGCCATCCATTCATATAATGTGTATACACACTCATCAAATATTTTTTTTTCTTTCAAATATTGAATTTTTCATATATGAAAATTATGAAATTAGAGCACCAAAACACCACACTGAATATTATGAATAAATTTTCTTTTTTTATTTGATTTTCTTGGTTGGTTTGGGTGAAAATGAAAATCGAAAATTGAAAGTTTAATGGACATTATTTTCCTGGTTCCTTTCTGATTGTCCAAATAATTGATTTGAATTTGAATTTTCGCCTGTGTAATGATCATCATCATTGTTGGTTTTAATTTTCAAATTTTCTGTGGGGGTAATTGGGTTAGGTTGGGTGTGTGTGTGTGTCGATAGCTCAATGTTTGATTTTTTCTGGGTTTCCATAAATTGAATGAAAATAAAAAAAAATTCTGGGGATCCATTACGTTGAATGAATGTAAAGTAGGGAAACGAAACGAAAATGAAAATGAAAAAAATTTAAAATTCTAATTAGTTCAGTCAGTCAGTCAGTTGGTTGGTTGTATGTTTGATTTCGATTCTGTAGTGGTACTTTTTTCCTCTGGTTTGGTTTGTTAACTTTTGAAAATTCTTGAAAAAAATGCAAAAATTTCATTTTAAAAATGCAGAAATAAAAAAAACAAAATTTAATCAACGAATCAAACAATCGCTAGTTGAGAGAGAGAAGAAAATGAGAAAAAAGCGAATTCAATTCTAACCAATTTGTGTTGAAATAGATTTTTTTATTGACAATTTTTTCTCAATTCAGGTGAAAATACAGGTAAAAATGATTGTTTGTTTGATAATGGCGGCTTATCTTTCTTTATTTATGATTTTTTTTTTGATTTTTGGTTTCATTTCCTGATTTCTGGGTGTTTTTCTTTGCTTATGATGATGATTTTAGTTTTGCTTTTCTCACATTATCATCATCATCATTGAATATTTGTTTTTATTTTCTCGGTTCAAAAACAATGATAATTAGAATGACGTAGTAAACACACACACACACAAATAGATATCAATCAGCAAAAATTTGGCCAAAAAAAACAACAACAAAGAAAATACAAGTTTTTTTTTCCAGAAAAAAGGTTATTATTAGGTGGAGTGATTGGTTGGTTGGTTTGTTTGTTTGTTGTTATCAATGGAGGTCAAATTCGTGATTTTCAATATATATTTTCTTCTGTTTATGTTTTTCAGATTTTACCTTTGTGTGTTTCGTGTGTGTAAATGATTGAATATGGTTAATTTAAAAAACAAAAAACAAGAAAAAAAATGTGGTTCCTGGTTTTGGTGATTTACAAAAAAAATTCATTGAATGAATTCATTTTTGTTTTGAAACAACAAAAAAAAACAAGGTCATACCAGTAATGAAAAAATCATAACGTATTTAATTTGATCCACAAACAGAGTAATGGAATGGATTTTTTTTTATTTTTAAAAACGCTATTTCAACTCATCCATGTAATGATATTGATCTATTGTTGTTGATGTTTGATGTATGTTTTATATATGTGCACCTACGCTTGTACTTGCAAACACACCCAAACAAACAAACAAACAAAAATTATTGATAAAAAATGATAAACACCCCATAACAACAACAACAACAAATGAAATTCACGAATTTTCTCTCTGTGTGTTTGAAAACCAATGTCAATTGATGATAATGATGATAACTATTATGGTGGCTATTTTAACAATAGTGGGCAAAAAAATTGATGATGATGATGATAAAGTGATGATAAAACAACACATCATTTGAAAAAATGATAATTTTCCTTCTTCCTTTTCGTTGTTGTTGTTGTTGATTTCATGTTCAATTTGATTCAACAACAACAACAACAACAAAAACGCCTTTACCTGAAGAATTAAACCTGTTGTTGTTGTTGTTTTTTCAATTCATTTCATTAAATTTACGAACAAAAAAAAAAGAAATGATTTTTAACCAAAAATGATCATCATCATTACCAAGAATAAATAACCAAGAATAAGTTTTACAAAAACAGAAATTTACGATATTTCAAACAAACGAAATCCGAATGATAATAAAATTCATAATGATAATCATTTCTATTGTTGAATTTTTTTTTTGAGGTTCGTCTTTACCATCGTCCATCGGTGGATAATGATTGACTTTGAATCCATTTTTTTTCCCGATCTCTTTTTCTGTGTGTATGGTGCAATCACATTTATTTTTTGCTTTCTTTTAAAAGAATTTTTCAAACGAAAAAAAAATATTTTATTATGATAACCCCGGTTCGATGACCATCGCTATTATCATTCCTTTATCACAAAAGATGATGATAATGATATATTTGGAGAGAGAAAGAGAGAGAATGAATGAATTACAATCACAAATATTTTTTGGTTACAAATGACCATTTTTTCTTATGTATTGTGGTTGTAAATGACCACTTTTTTTGAAAAAAGAAATTCTTTCCTCATTTGAATCGAAACAATAGAATGACAGTTTTTTTTGTTAAATTTATGACGATTTTGCTGTTGTTTCCTTGGCGGACAAACATTTTGTGATTCTTCAAGCTTCAAATTATCATTATTAATTATCATATTTTATAAATAAATTTTCAAATTTTTAATTTTATCTTTATCTCTCTCTTTTTTTTCTTCATTGATATTGCAGGAAAAAAATATTCTCAAGAATCATATAATTTATTGGACATAAACTAAGAAAACTTTCCGACAACAACAACAAATCAACAAGCAAGGTCAACTGAAAGGTTAGGTTGGTCAGTTTGGGTAAAAACTAAAAAACTTCAAAGAAAAGTAAACAAAAAAGAAAAAAAAACATCGTTTCTTTCCAGCCAAAAAAGAACATACGACAACGGAAACGTAATAATAATATTTCATCATCATCACATCTCAGCATCACATCGAGTGAAAAAACGGTAAGTTTTTACCTTTGACATGTTATATTTATATGGTTTTTCTTTTCAAAAAAAAAGATTGAAGGGACGAAAATTGAAAATGTCAGAATCGTTTTTTTTCGATTTTTGAATCCAAATTTACGATCTAAATTTGTGAATTAGAAGTTTATTTTTCGATATGATTTGATCAATAATAATGATGATGTAAAAAAAGTTCCCGGAAAAGCAAAATTTTCCAGGAAACATTACTTATTTTTTCGATCACCCTGTAGTCCTCATTTTCTACCCCTCGAACAAATTGTGAAATAAAAAATCCAAATCTTGGCAAAGTCAAGTAGTTTGTTCATTTTTGGTAAACGACGATGACGACGACGAAAGAAATTCACATGTATTTAGTCTATGTTTAATTTTCGGATTAAATTTCAACTTGAAAAGACCAAAAATCAAAGAAAATCAAAGCAAACGAAAAAAAACTTTGAGAAATAAAATCTTTAAACATAGCACACATATGACATAAGGAGAGCTAATCTTTTATTCAAGTGAATATTATAACCAACGACGACCATCAAACAGCCAAACAACCAAACTAGAATCTAGACTAGAAAATAAATTTTTCTTCTGATTTTTGATGATGAACAACGAACGAGCAACAAGCACTAATCATCATCATTTTGCTGTTTGTTTGTTTGTTTGCCATTCAGATTCTCAAAAGTTTTTAAGTTTGCAAGTTTTTTAAAAAATCATTTCTTTTCTTTTTTTATTGTTGTGTTTCCTTGTGATGGTGGGGAGGGTTAATGATAAACATCTTTGCCAATGAAAAAAAAATGAATGTTTGACAAATCGAATCCTCCAAAGATCATCAGCCATCTGTCTGTCTGTCTATCTGACTGGCTAGCTGACTGGCCAGTCAGTCTGTCAAACACTTTTTTTGATTGCTTGCTTGCTTGGATGCGGAATTTTTCTGCATTTCAAAATTGATGCGGACGATGATGCAAACATTAATATTGGCTTAATATTATCATCACCATCATCATCAGAAAAACAACTAAAAAACAAATTCAAATTAGTCATTAAATACATGTTGTTGGTTGGTTGGTTGGTTGTCCATCATAATAAAATGACATTTTTTTTGATTTGAAAAAACATTTTGTCGTTGTTTTTACCTGAGATTGATTGAATACCTGAGATTTTTGTTTTTTAATGACAAAATCATCATCGCTGTTATCATTATTGGTTTTTTTTAATGCTGATGTTTGTTTGTTTCATAAATGACAGCTTGTCAATCAAATTAAGTTTGACAGTGATGGTTTTTGGTGGGCGAACATCATTTCTTTGAATGTTTGTTATCATTATTTTAATAATCGACCCCAAAAAAAAGTCGAAATTTTTTCTGGACTTTTGACACTTGGGTAGAAATAGTCGATAGAAATTTAGTGTTAAATAAAATCGGTTTGAAAAAAAGATGTTTTTTTTCAAGAAAAACAAAACAAAAAAAAATCTTTATAGAAACCATATCAGTGATCAATGAATCGAAAAAAAAAACAGAAGAAAAGAATTACAGAACCTAAAAAACAAGAAACTTAGTATTTTTCCTAATCGATCTTCTGCACCAATATTGATTCGTTCATTCAATCTTTTTTTTTGTTTTGTTTGTTTGTCCGATTTTGATCTTGATTTTCTCCATTTCTCTCTCTCTCTCTCTCTCTCTCTCTCTCTCTCTCTCTGTGTGTGTGTTCATCATCTTGATTTTCATCTCGGTTGATTTCTTCGTTTTTTATTTATTTTCTTGTCCTGGTCTCGTCTTGATTTTGTACTAAAAAGAAGAAGAAAACGACGAAAAAAAAAGAAATAATTTACTTTTAACATCTGGAATGTTAAGATGGCGAGGAAAAAAAAATCTTCGTTCTTTCGTTTTATTTATTGCACATCAATGTCCATTCACCCAACAACAACAACAACAACGACAACAGCATCAAACTTAGAAAAAAAACAATAAAAATTTTTGATGCTGCGCAAGTTCATTGCATTCAGCAGAGTCGTCCCTCTTTTCGATTACCAAACAACATCATCATTGGCATTCAAAGACCGCCCGTGATAGTTTTTGATTTTTGTTTTTTGGTAAATAAAAAATAGGAAAAAAAACAACAACATTGAAAGAAATTAAAGATGTAAAAATCAAATCAAATCAAAAGATTTCAATGATGATGATGGTGATCAGATTTGTTTTTTTTTAAAGATTTTGATTTGTTGTTGTTATTTATTTAGATTTTTATCTTGGTAAAAAACAACAAGAACAATCTCTGAAAATCTTATTGATTTAGATTGAATTCTTTCTTCGTTTGTCTTGTCTTATCTTATCTGATTTTGTTGTTGAAAAATCGATTGTCTTTTCCATAATTAAATTACATTTACTAGTTTATACAATGATTTTTTTTGATTTCTTTTTTCTATTTGATTCATTTATACGTGACAAGTTCATGTTAGTTAATCAGTTTTTACCTATGGATTTTATCTATCGGGTTAACGTATTTTTTTTTATCTCCATTAACTTGATGACCTGTTCAAGACAGAAAAAAACTTTTCAAAAACATACATCGTACAATCGATAATTGAAAAAAAATTTTTGTTTTCCTAATTTATACCGGTAAAGTTTCTTTTCTAAATGATATGAATATTCAAATATTTTCAAAAACAAAAAACAAAAAAAAACAGGATCCGCATTGATCATCAAAATAGTTAATCCTCTTTGCTTTTTTTTCAAATCTTTCATACGAATAAATCTTGATGACCTGTGTGTCTGTTTGATCTTACCAATCAAATTGAATTCTTAATTCTTCTTCTTCATCTTTTTTGTTCAACAAAAACCATTTTCGACATTCGACAATCGACATTTCAATTTTTGTATTTTTTTGTAAAATCAAATTATCAACATTGTTATCCAATAATGATCAATATTTTTTTTTCATTTTCATTTCTCTCTTGATTGCTCAAAGGCAAATCATATGTCAGCAGAAAAAACTTTGAAATATTTTGTTTCAATAAGTTTCATCAATGAAAAGGAATTTTTTTTTTTCGATTGAAAACAAAACAAAAAAATGTCAAACTTTGTTTCAGTAGGAAAAAAATGAAATTCTTTGTTTCTTTGTTTGAAAAGTCGAAAACAATCAAAATCAAAAACAAAAAATCAGGAATGAAAACCATTTTTCTTTTGGTCTATTTCAACAGCAATTGTTTGCCTTAAAGTAAATTGTTTTTCCATTCATTTTGATTTACTGCTTACCTGAGCATCATCATTTGATTTTTGATCTTTGTTTTGTCATTTTTTTTTTGCAGTGTTTGTAAACTGAATGTATTAATTAAATTTCATAACATTTTTTTCTTTTCCTTCTTTTTGGCCATCATCAAAATTTAATAAAAATATCCAACATTGCGTGCAACTTTATTGTTTGTTTGTGTGTTTGTGTTTGCCTGTTCATCATCCAAATCAATCATCAACCAAAAATATTCTGGATTCTGTGTGTATTAAGAATCTGTTCTTTCTAGCCTCTTCTTGAAAATCAAATCAAATATCATGATGATGATGATGATGATGATAAAAATGTAATATTTTTGTTTTCTCGTTTTTTTTTGTTTTATGATGATGTTTTGTTTTTGTTTGTTTTTTGTTTGCACTTTCGTGGAGGAAAAGATTGTCCAAATCAATTTGTTGTTGCCAAAAACAACATCAACAACAACAACAATGATGATGATGATGACAACAGAATTCTCATTTTTTTTCGAGAACTTAATGGAAAAAATGAATGAATGAATTCTTGGAAATATTATCATCACTGAATCCAGAATCTAGTGTTTGTATGTGGGTGGTTGATGAATGAATGGATGGTTAGTTGAAGTGATGATATCCACAAAAAAAAAAACAACAAAAGAATTTTCCATTACTTGTTTCAAATGAAACCGAAACAGAAAAAAAAATTGTTTCAAGAATCCAGAAGTTATTATATTGGCCAGGAAAATAAACTAACCAAAAAAAAAACAAATAAAAAAGAAGTAATGAAAAGCAAAAGCAAAAATAAAAAAAAAATCAAGTGAATTAAATTCAACCAACCATAACCATTGTATAGTAAATGTTGTTGTTGCTCTTTGATTCAACAACAAAGAACCAGAACCAGATCAGAATCTGATGATGATGGTTGGATTGAGCAGAATTTTTCATTCTTTTTTTTCGTAAGAATCGGAGAGAAACTTTAAAGATTTTTTTTTTTTCGTTTTTTTATTACTTATTTTAGTCATGTTTTCAATAAATAAATATTTTTAAAATTTACCAGAAAAAAAATTCCATCCATACATCCATCCATATGTCCAGAGTAACGAAAAAAAATGATGATAATGATGTTACCTATATATAGAACCTTTCAAAAAGATGTAAAGTAATGTAAAACCTGCAACACATATTCGATGATGATGATGATGATATTAATGTTAATGTGGTTGTCGTTGTTGGTGATGATTGTAAAATATTTTAAAGATATGAATGCGAGAGAGAGAGAGAGAGAGAGAGAGACAGGGAGACAGAAAACTTGATACTTTTCATAGGTAATGATATAGAGAGAGAGAAAAAAATGACAGAATTTTTTGGTTCAACAAAAATAACATGATAAACAACCACTGATGACAACTAAAAGTTTTTTTTTTAAATTTTTCAAAGTGAAAATTCATGTTCACT